TTACTGTTGCGGGTTGGAGATGGAGGGAAAGCAAAGATGAGAGACATAAGTAAAATCAGAGTGTCTAGGAAAAATTAAAGGGAAGCTATCCTAAAACTTCCAGGAAATCTCCACCAATGAAGCAAAGAAAAAAAAAAAAGCCTCTATTATTCTGTGAGCAACAAACCAAACTGGGTTGGGGGTCTCAGACAATTCGCTCATATGATTGCAAAGACAGACAGAAACTCCCGGATTGGAGAGGGCTCCCCTGAGGGCTCCCAGATTGGAGAGGGTGCAGGTCAGGCTGAGGGACCCCCCGGACCCCCGTGCATGAATCTTCGTGCACCAGGCCCCTAGTATGAACAATAAAATGGCAATAAATATATTTCTATCACCAATTTAATCTAAAAATCAAAATAAATGAACAAGCAGAACAGAAACAGACTCATAGATACAGAGAATATTTTGACGGTTGCCAGATAGAAGGGGGTTTGGGGCAATGGGTGAAAAAGGCAAAGGGATTTAAAAGTACAAATTAGTCATAGCCCATGAACACAGACAATAAGACAGGTGGGGTGGGAGATGGGTGGAGGGGGGCAAAGGGAGAAAATGGGGACATCTGTAATACTCTCAACAAAATAAAATTTTAAAAAGGCACATTTAAAAAAGGCACATTTTAGATCATATGAATTTAATAAATGGAATATACATTTTTCTCAAGTGCACATGGAACATTTCCTAGGACAGGCCAAATGATGAGGCACAAAAGATGTCTCAAATTTAAGAAGACTGAAATTCTATCAAGCATCTCCTCTGATCATAACAGTATGAAACTGTAAATCAATTATAAGAAAAAAAACTGGAACAAACACATGAAGGGTAAACAACATGCTACTAAACACTCAATGTGTTAATAAAGAAATCAAGGAGGAAATTAAAAGATACCCTGAGATAAATGAAAATGGAAACACAATGGTCCAAAAACCTATGGGACACAGCAAAAGCAGTTTTAAGAGAGAAATTCATAGCCATACAGGCCTACCTCAAGAAACAAAAAACATTTCCCGTAAACAATATAATTTTATACCTAAAGGAACAAGAAAAAACAAAAGCAAAGCCCAAGGTTAGTAGAAAGTAGGATATAACAAGGATCAGAAATAAATTAGAGACTAAAAAAATAATAAAGATCAATAAACTCAGAGCTAATTCTTTGAAAAGATAAACATTATTGATAAATCTTTAATCAGATTCATTAAGAAAAAAAGAGGGCCCAAATAAATAACATCCAAAATGAGTGAGAAATGACACAAGTGGTATCACATAAATACAAAGGATAAGAAAACACTACAAACAATTATATGCCAACAAATTGGACAACTTCAAAGAAATGGATAAATGCTTGAAATATAACCTTCCAAGTCTGAATCAGGAATAAATAGAAAATCTGAATGGACCAATTACTAATAATGAAATTGAATCTATAATCAAAAATTTCCCAACAAAAAGTCCTGGACCAGACAGCTTCAGAAGTGAATTTTACTGAACATTCAAAGAATTAACACCTACCTTTATCAAACTATTCCAAAATATTAAAGAGAGGAAAGCTCCCAAACTCATTCAAGGCCAGCAGTACCCTTATACTAAAACCAGACAAAGACACAACAAAAAAAAAGAAAATTATAGGCCATTATCCCTGATGAACATAGATGTAAAAATCCTTAACAAAATATTAGCAAATCAAATTCAGCAATACATTAAAAAGATCATACACCATGATCAAGTGGGGTTTATTTCCAAGGATGCAAGGTTGGGTCAATATCCACAAATCAATTAACATGACATACCACATGCACAAAATAAAGAATAAAAATCATATAATCAAAGACAAAATGAAAGAGAAAAATCATATAATCATATCAATAGATACAGAAAAAGCATTTGAAAAAATCCAACACCAATCTATATATATATATAAAAGGCTAAAATGCAAAGTGTCCCCTCGGGAGTTCAACCGGGAGACCGCGAGTTCGATTGCTCACTATGACGCGCACTGACCACCAAGGCAGAACTAAGGAAGGCACCGGCCAGCAGCCGAAAGGCCCCAATTGGCCCTGATCGCCAGCTAGGCCCAGGGACCCTACCCATGCACAATTTCGTGCACTGGGCCTCTAGTTTATGATAAAAACTTTCAGCATAGTGGAGATAAAGGGAATATACCTGATTATAAAGACCGTATATGAGAAACCCACAACTGACATCACACTCAACAATGAAAAGATTAAAGCTTTTTCTCCAAGATCAGGAATAAGACAAGGATACGCAGCAATCTGACATGATAAAGAAATAAAAGGCATCCAAATTGGAAAAGAAGTAAAACTATCACTATTTGCTCATGATATGATATATATAGAAAACCCTGAAGATTCCACCAAAAACTATTAGAATTAATAAATGAATTTAGTAAAGTTGCAGAAAAAATTGTCAGAAATCTATTGCAATTTTATATACTAATACTGAACTATCAGAAAGAGAAGAAAATAATCTCATTTACAATTGGATCAAAAAGAAATGAAAAACTTAATCAAGAAGATAAAAGACCTATACTCTGAAAACTGTAATACACTGGTAAATGGAAGGATATACTGTGCTTGTGGACTGAAAGAATATTGTTTCAATGTCCATGTTACCCAAAGCAAGATTACATGCAATCTCTATCAAAATACCAGTGGCACCTGGCCAGTGTGGCGTAACTGAGCATCCACCTATGAACCCTAAGGTCAATTGGATTCCTGGTCAGGGCACATGCCTTGGTTGTGGGCTCAATCCCCATTAGGGGACGTGTAGGAGGCAGCCGATCAATGATTCTCTCTCATCGTTGATGTTTCTATCTCTCTCTCCCTCTCCCTTTCTCTCTGAAATCAATAAAAACATATTTTTAAAAAATACCAATGTCATTTTTCACAAAAGTAGAACAAATAATCCTAAAAATTTTTTGGAACCACAAAGCACCCTGAATAGACAAAATAATATTGAGAAAGAAGAAAAAAGTTGGAGGTATCACACTACTTTATTTCAAACTATAATACAAGGATATAGTAATCAAAACAATACAGTATTGGTACAAAAACAGACATGTAGATCAAAGGAGAATAGAGACCCCAGGAATAAACCCATGCTTATATGCCCAGTTAGTGTACGACAACGGAAGCAAGAATATACAAGGAGGTAAAATAGTCTCTTCAACAATAAATGATGCTAGGAAAACAGAATAGATACACGCAAAAAATGAAATTAGACCATTTTCTTACACCATATACAAAAATAAACTCAAGATCGATTAGTCTTGTATGTAAGACCTGGAATTATACAACTCCTAGAAGACAAAATGAGTAATGGACTCTTTGACATTGATTTTAGTATATGTCATCTAGGGCAATGTTAAAACAAAATATAAGTAAATGAACTACATCAAACTAAAAAGCCTTTGCACAGTAAGGGAAACCATCAATGAAACAAAAAGGCAACCTACTGAATGTGAAAATATATTTGCAAATGATATATCTGATAAAGGGTTAATATGCAAAATATATAAAGACCTCATACAACTCAACGTCAAAAAGCCAAACAATCCAATTTAAAAATGGGCAGAGGACCTGAACAGGCTTTTCTCCGAAGAGAACATACAGATAGCAAACAGACACAAGCAAAGATGCTCAACATCACTAATCATCAGGGAAATGCAAACCAAAACCACGGTGAGATATTACCTCACACCTCTCCGAATGGCTAATATCAGTAAATCAACAAACAAGTGTGGGTGAGGATGTGGAGAAAAGGGAATCTTCCTGCACTGTTGGTGAGACTGTAAACTGGTGCAGCCACTATGGAAAACATATGGAGAGTTTTCAAAAAATGAAACATAGAGCTACCATATGACCCAGCAATCCCATTTCTGGGTATTTATCCAAATAAATTGAAAACAGTAATTTGAAAAGATAAATGCACCCTTAAGTTCATTTCAGCATTATTTATAATAGCCAAGATATGGAAGTAGACTAGGCGTCTATCGATAGATGAATAAATGAAGAGGTGGTGAAACAACATGGATGGACCCAGAGGGTATTATGTCACGTGAAATAAGTCAGACAGAGAAAGACAAGTAATGTCTGACTTTACTTATGTGGAATCTAAAATACAAAATACACAAACCAAAAAAAGAGAAAAGAAACAAATTCATAGATACTGAGAACAAACTGATGGTTGCCAGGTGGGAAGGTGGTGAAGGGAAGGGCGAAAAATGTGAAGGGGATTACGAAATACAAGCTGCCAGTTATAAAATTAGTCACAGGTATGTAAAGTACAGAATAGGCAATATAGTCAATAATACTGTTATAACTATGTATGGGGCTGGGTAGGTACTAGTCCAGTGATGGCGAACCTTTTGAGCTTGGCATGTCAGCATTTTGAAAAACCCTAACGTAACTCTGGTGCTGTGTCACATATAGAAATTTTTTGATATTTGCAACCATAGGAAAACAAAGACTTATATTTTTGATATTTATTTTATATATTTAAATGCCATTTAACAAAGAAAAATCAACCAAAAACATGAGTTCGCGTGTCACCTCTGACATGTGTGTCATAGGTTCGCCATCACTGTACTAGTCTTATCTCGTGGTGATCGCTTCAAGGTATACAAATGTCTCATCACAATCTTGTATGCCTGAAATTAATATACACTGTATGTTAACTATAATTTTTAAAATTTAATATAAGACAAAAGTTATTCATGCTGATGTTATATATAATGTACATGTATGTGTATATATATGTACATATATATTTGGGGGGATACAATTAATAGGGAGTGGTCAGGTGTTTAAAAAAAGTCACTGTTTCCATGGGACACTTACACAATCTTAAATCAATCAGCTTTCATCTCATAGGAGGAGAAATCTAATCAGCCTTATTTTCTCATGCAAGTGCTACCTATAAACAGCATCATCTTGTCAGACACCTACCTTGCTTGTCTGATTTGGTTTGATCCCAGGCCCTCGAACCAACAGTGGAACTTTGATATCAAACTCATACAGCTGCCTTTTGTCTATTGGCAAAGAAAACTGTCCTGAAAACAAAATGCAAAGGGTAAAGATGGAGCCCAGATGGAAGTGTCACGCATATACATTCATTTAGTCAACAAAAACAAAACAACTTTGTTCCTCTAATTATGGTGCTTTAATAGGAGGTTTAAATTTGCCTGGGTCTCATTACTACAAGGCAGGAAACAATGAGTTCATCTTCCTTAAATAAATGCCTAGGGGGACTCCCTGATCTAAGATAGGACAAATTCAGGAAAAAGAGTGACTGGGAAGTACTGAAACACAAATGCATAATTTATGTCTGATACTCAATCTGATCACAACTGAATGAGATTATTCTGAAAACTGCTAAAGGAACAAAAACATTTATCTGGCCTTTCCTGAATAAACTGCATTTCAAAATAACTGAACAGCTGAGGGAAAGTTCTTCTCTGAGGAATTCCAGCTAATAAATGCAAAAGGAAGAAGAGAGTTATAAAGTCAACATTTTACAATTTCTGAGGGAAAAATGAATTTAACCATCAATGGAAGTTTAACCACAAAAGGTTCACAGGACAGGCTGACGCCACATGGGCCATCAATCAATACTAGCATCCCTGAAGTGGGGCAACCAGGCTCCGAGGTATCATGAAGTGATGCAACAGGAAATACACAGCAGCATCACCAAGAAAGCATGCTTGCTGAAAATGTGAATTTCTATTAAGACTCTAGATCTGACTACCAATCTATAGGAAATGCTAAGTATAAACAAACAAGATAAAAGCCAGGATGTCAGATATTCTAAATGGACAAAAGACCAGTTTTTCCAATCAATCAGTGGCAACGACAGCTTTTAGGACACACAAAAGCTAAAGGTAGCATGCACACTCTAGATCCTGATACATAATAAAGTAGTCAGATGCACAATTAAGTGTTGATGTGTGGAATCACAATTTCCAGAGATTCTACAAAACCTTCTAGCTAAAAAAACACACACCAGGGTAGGGTAGGAAGAATTCAAAAGACTGGCCACATGCAACTGAAAACTGAAGCTGGATAATGGGGTTTATTTTATAGTCTCTACTTCAAGTGCTTAAAAATATTCACAATAGCCCTGACCGGTTTGGCTCAGTGGATAGAGCGTAGGCCTGCAGACTGAAGGGTCCCAGGTTCGATTCCAGTCAAGGGCATGTACCTTGGTTGCGGGCACATCCCCATTAGGGGGTGTGCAGGAGGCAGCTGATCGGTGTTTCTCTCTTATCGATGTTTCTAACTCTCTATCCCTCTCCCTTCCTCTCTGTAAAAAATCAATAAAATATATTTAAAAAAATATTCACAATAATAGATTAAACGCCCAATCTGTTCTATGCAAGCAAGCCTCAGGTTAATTCCACTCAAGTTTATAAAATTTATAGGTGGGGAAAGAAGAAAATATTGGTTTTTAACCTGCAAAAGGTTCAAGTAGAAAGGATGAAAGTCAAAAACAGGGGGCTTATTCATCCTGCAGGTTTTGTTTTTTTTTTAATTTTATTTTATATTTTATTGATTTTTTTACAGAGAGGAAGGGAGAGGGATAGAGAGTTAGAAACATCGATCAGCTGCCTCCTGCACACTCCCCACTGGGGATGTGCCCACAACCAAGGTACCTGCCCTTGACCAGAATCAAACCCGGGACCCTTGAGCCCGCAGGCCGACGCTCTATCCACTGAGCCAAACCGGCCAGGGCTATCCTGCAGTTTTAAAAAGACAAAACACACACACACACACACACACACACACACACACACACACACACAAAACCCATACTCACACACACAAAACTAATTTCACAATTTCGCATGAAAGACTCCCCCTGGCACCCAATACAATCTTCTCTTGATCTCCTATGTAAAATGTCTTACCCTTATTTTCTAAAGTCTACTTGTTTTTGAAATCCCGTTCAACTTCTTACCTCCTTCATAAATCCTGCCTCTAACCCATCAAGCTCACTCTGCTCCCGACTCTTGGAATATCATGTAATATAGCATATGACACAGCAAATAATGAAACCGGTCTCTCCATGTGGCAATGAGTGGGCCCTCTGACCAGAGGGGACCTGAGGGCAAGACCTTCCCTCTGGCCTCTAAACTGCTCTACAGGGACCAGAGCTCCCTGCCAGTGATCCTGGCTGGGTGAAAAAGGAAAGGCACCTCCCAAAGGTCTCAGGAATACCTAACCACGCCCCTTACCTGTGTGGTAGCCATTGTCAGAAGTATAAAAGATGTAAGTGTTGTCGAGCTCCCCGATGAACTCCAATCTCTTGACCAGTTTCTCCACAAGGTCATCAACTGAGAGTAGAGTTTGCCACCTGGATGTAAACAGAGGATGTCAGTAGAACCTCAAAGAAAATGGCTCAGGGACACCTGCAAAACCTCAAAACCATTCTCCCCAAAATGGAAGAAATTTCCAAATTTCCTTTCCTCAAATGCCTCATTGCAAAAAAAAAAAAAAAAAAATTAGAAAAATTTAGAATAGTTACCTCAATCTAAATTGAACTGTTTCCAAAGAAATGAATGAGGCTTTTATAACTAGTTTTATTACTTATTATCACTGTTGATGAGAGGAGAGACAAGGGCAAGTTGTCAACTCAGCACTGATTAATACAGATTAATTCACATGGACCTGTGCCCCAACAGTGTTTGTGATCTAAACTAGGGGCTGGCAAACTGCAGCCATGCACCAAAGTTTGCCCACTGTGTGTTGTTTGCTTTTAAATTGTGATAAAAAACACATAATATAAAATTTACCATCTTAGTGTTTAAGTGTACAAATCAGTAGTATTAAATATATTCACATAGTGAGACAGATTTCCAGAACTTTTTCAGTTTATAAATCTGAAAGGACCCATTAAACAACTTACTGTCTCTTTTTTATATACACATAAAGTTTTATTAGAACACAACCATGCTCATTCATTCACGTACTGTCTTGAGCTGCTTTTGCACTCCAACAGCAGAGCTGAGCAGCTGCAACAGAGATCATATAGCCTGCAAGCCTATAGTATTTACTATCTGGCCCTTTACAGAAAAAATTTGCCAACCCTTGGTAATAAGTAATAGATTACAACTTAAGTAATGAATTTTTTGAAAAATTAGAGAATTTCTTGAAAATCACAAACAGAAAAGGTAAATAATTTGCTCTAGTCTAAGCCTTTGGGTTTTATGTAAATATTGGGAGACTGGTCACTAACAAACCTTTTCCTTAGATACAGGAAACTTTTTTAAAAATATATTTTTTTATTGATTTTAGAGAAGGGGGGAGAGGTAGAAATATCAATGATGAGACAGAATCATTGATCGGCTCCCTCCTGCACACCCCCTACTGGGGATTCAGCCCTAAACCAGGGCATGTGCCCTGATTGGGAATTGAACCCTGACCTCCTGGTTCATAGGTCAACGCTCAACCATTGAGCCACATCGGCTGGGTGGAAACTTAAAAAAAAAAAGTCAAATGGCTCCAGTTTGCAATGTTTTAACAAGTCATAAAAATAGATTGTTTAATTAGTCTGAGGGTCCAAAGGCCACCTCACACACCCAAATGTAAAGGAATCTGTGCTTCTGAGGCAACAGATGCCCTCCCCACCAAGCAAAGTCTCTCCCATCAACTTGTTACCCTCCAATTTTGTCTCAAATATAACCACATGGTACAGTCCCCTGTTCATAGGCTGATCTGGAGGGTCCTCTAAGACCACCCAGGTTGAGAAAGTAGCAGCTCTTACCTTTTCCTAAATGCATTATCTAAAAACTGTATCGAAGAATTAGTCATTGGAGTCTTGGCTTGCCTAATTAACCAGTGCTTGTTCTAAAATTTAAAAGAAAAAAATGTTAACACCAAGTCACCCAGTCAAATAAACTACTATAGTAGATAATTAAATTTATAACTCTGAGTATATGCTTTGGGTCTCCTACCCAAACTACAAAAGGGTAAATATTAACTTTACCTTCTTCTTAATTTTGCTTATAAGTCAACATTTTATTGTCCTCTATTTTCTTATCCAAGATATCCATCATCCTAAACTGTTGGGAAAATCCCAAAATAGCAATCTCCTAAAACTTCAAGTCCAAATTTGGAGGGTTCTTCTCATTTTAATAAAAAAGTCAGTTAAAAACACACACACACACACAAAACATTCACACACACCATTAATTTTCTCCTTCCTCCCTAGTCTTGAAACCCTAGCTATCTCCCAAACTATGATCCTCAAAGTGTTCTTTAGTTAGTATGTTTGAGAGATGCTATATAGCATGTCCTCTGACTGGAAATTCATGTTAGAACATGAATCTGAGGAATCCTATAGCAGAGTGACTTATTTAACCTAAAGTTTCTGCACTTACGTGGTCATGGGAACTGCTATCAATTTTTTTGGAACACAGTTTGAGAATGGCTCTCTAGTTTAAAACTTAGCTCACTTAGCTTTCAAATCATACTAAACAAGCACATGCTTGCAATATTCCAGGTGATACCACAGATGTTTCTATGTACTTTAGTCCAGCAGTCACCAACTGGTGGTCTGTAGACCACTGTTGGTCCGTGAGGTGCGAAAGGTTGGCGACCGCTGGTTTAAGGAAACCTTTGGAGCAGCGGTTGCCAACAGGTGGTCCACGGACCACTGCTGGTCCGTGAGATTTGAAATGTTGGCGACCACTGCTTTAGTCCATATAGCAGTTGCATGAGCAATGGAAGTTAGCATCTTGCTCACTGTTGGGTCACTAGGCTAGAAGGTGGTAGTGCTGAGTCTAACTCTAAGATTCATTCTTTCCACCACCTCATAAGCAATAAAGATTTCTGGGAAACAGGCATGGGGCAGTAGAGGCA